GGAGATGTTCCCAAGTGAGCACGAAAAATTAAGTTCCTAGGGCAACGGCCAATATAACTCGCCCCACCACAAGCGCAGTTGAATCGGTAGATACAATTTGAAGTGGTTAGTCTAGTCTAGGTACTTCATCTTTCAGTCGAGGTAGCACCATCGATCGTGTAGAGAATAAGACATGTAGTTTGCTAGCATTATAAGTTCTTTGAACTGATTTTCTTAATTTCCTCGTAATTATCTCACTTGGTATATCGCCCCCCTGAATTGTAGTCGTATATAAAGATGCTTCTAGTTTACAGATAGTGAGTAGTCTTTTTTCCGCTTTCTTTGTCCTGTGTTTCTTGATAAATTTGTCGGGATAGCTATTTTCGATCAAAGTATCATAAACTATGCTTAATTCATCTTCGATTACCTCTTCTGAGCATATAGCTCTAACTCTGTGGCTGACGGTCCTCCCTTACTACATTTCTTTTGTACTTGATGGGAACAAAGCTGTGAAAATGTGTATATTGTCCTGTCCAAGTATTTTTCCTATGCAAATTTCTTCCTATGCTACCATCTGGTTTTCTTGTAAGTAGAACATCCAGGAAGGCAATTCTGTCTTGGGATTCCTCTTCGCTTGTGAATTTCATAGACGAATGTACTTCATTGAATTCATTAATTATTTTACTCTTATCAGAACCATTATCACGAAGCATGAAGGTATCATGCATATATGAGAGCTTACTGATAAGGTTGTTTAAAGGTCCATTTTCTAGCTTACTTAGAAAGAAATCAGCCACAATAGGACCCACCAAGCTTTATTGTTATTGTTCTTCTTATATTTATAATCCTCTCAAATGTTTATTGTTTATTTTCTCAAAAGTGTCAACATCAACTGTTAATTTTGTTTTTCCCCTCACCATACTGTATCTCAACAGAAGATTAGATTCAATAAAATTTCCAAACTGAATTGACAATACTGTTTGAAACAAACCCACAGTTATTATTATTATTGTTATGTTTATTATGCTCAATTCGTACTTCGAATATTTTTGACTTTGTACCGTAAATGTGGACAAATTCCTCTGGTTAATTATACTTATATTTTGATTAAGTCGGATGTCATATTGTGACATATGCTAAGAATTCCATTCTGTATTATAAGTAGTCTGTTTTGGAATAAAGTAGATATATATATATATATATATATATATATATTAATGAATAGCCATGATTAATATTTATTTTTAATTCAATTTTTAACTTTCCCGTTGACATCCGTTACGCAAGAGGTGACTTTCATAGCTCATCAGGTGGTCTAACGAATAACACTTTCGTGTTAGAAACGGTGGGTATTGGGTTCGAGCCTCAGTGGGAACATTATCAATCACTGGGGTATGCAAGTACATCATCCAGATAACGAGTCCCGAGTAGAACGGAGAGTGTATATCCATCCAGCAAATGTTTCTGATGCATTTTATTCAGTTTGAATGAATGATAACACCAAAAACAGGGAGATAAAATGTAGCACAAGGTTATGTGTTGTGTGTATCAGTGTGTGAGTGAATAACCAAGGTTGAATTTAGAAAATGGTTTGTTTGTACAGATGTGAGGAAACAGATAAACGTTTGACGTGTTAGTATACTAACATACCAATCAATATGGCAGCCTTAGAAGCAGTTAAAAAAAGAACTAACTGCAGATCATGAACTCACTTATAGGGCGAAGCTACCGAATGAAGAAATTATTTTATGAATTTAGTTATGCCCCACATCTACTATCTTTAAATTCCAAGGTAAAATATATAGACAAACAGAAGGTGCGGCAATGAGATCACCAATATCCCATATAGTAGTGGATATATTTATGGACAGTTGAGAAAATATGGCTGTTAATACGTTTAATCCTACTCCAAAAATATGGTGGAGATATGTGTATGACACTTTCATTCACAGTGTTAAAAACAGAACGTATCTCCAGCTTCTTGATACACATAAACTCACTAGTGGAGGGAATAAAATTCACATTTAAATCGGAAAATAAACAAGAAGAAGGTACACTGCACACTGGCGGCGTTTATAAAATACCAACGCATTCTGCTAATAGATATTTAGACTTTAATTCATCTCAGCCGTTATCTGTTTGTGAGTGAAGGCAGGCTTAGTTAAGTCTCTGTCTAACAAACCGAGCAGTAGCACTAAGTAGTACAAATGAGGAAATAAATCAGATAGAAGAAGCGTTGGTGTTGAATAACTATCCTATAAAATTCATTAAGAAGATCAGTAAAGGCCAAAAGCGAAATAAAAATAATTATGAAACTAGTAATGATAACATAAATAAGGAAGAATATAAGTCATCTACTGTTATACCATATAAGGAGGGAGGGGACATCTGAGACCCTCCCTACGTAAGATTCTCAATAAAGCAGGAATTAGGGTGAAGGCATTTAAACCTACAAACTCACTCAGGCAGGACAAGTTCTGTTGGCTAAAAGGAGCCTGTCGGTTGACCCAATTAAACAAAATAATATAATTTACAAAATACCCTGCAGTGACTGTCAGTTAAGTCAACTACATAGGTCAAATTAGTAGATCAGGAATAGTCAGGTTGTCGGAACATAAGAATTTAGCTAAGGCAAAAATGGTTGACCCCGAGAAGATAAGTAATTTAGAAAAATACTCAGCGATTGCACTGCATGCATATTAACATACAACCACCACACAATAGGGTGGATGGGATGGGGTTAAAATTTCAAAGAAGTAATGTGGGTAGGTGGAAAGCGAGAGGGAGAGGTTGATTACTGAATCCTTGTTCATCGATTCTACATCAACACATGCAGTAGGAATGACTCATCAGTCATACCGGAAATATGGAGAATACTTCTACCAATCAAGTCAAGCGATGAAAAATAATGGAATTATATAAACGAAGTTAGAAAGTTGTGTGATTACCTTGATATGATTATGAGCAATAAATTGTGCGCGAAACGTCATCAGTAAACATTACTGTATAACACTGTGAGACTTTATCAAAACAAATTTTATCTATAATGAAACGAAGTAAGAACATAACTGATAGAATTCAATTTGCACCAAACAAATGACTAATCAGTTACATCGCACTAGTTATTAGTGTCCGATTAAAGTACCCGATGCGTCGATGACATAGCGGTTAGGATGCTCGCCGACCATGCACACGGTCCGGGGTTCGATCCCCGGCCGGCGCACTCCTTTACCTCGCCAAGCCAGAAATAATGCTGGTAAAGAGGAAAGGTTGGGCATGAGGCTAGCAACCCCATCCTGTAAAAATAAACACTGCTACAGAAACTTAAAGCCACTAGCTTGAAGCTCTATGTTCCACTGGGGAACGTGAAGGAAAAAAATTAAAGTACCCACAGGAGGGCAGTCGCGAGCCCGAATAGCTCAGTGGCAAAGTCTCTTACTGCAGGTAGCACTGGGTGATGCAGGTTTGGATCTCAGAAGGGACATGAGTTCCTTCCTGCAAGGTTGCAAATACGCTGCCTTGCTGACTGGTGAGTGCCAACTAGCACAAACCCTAGGTCAAGCAAGGCTTCCTGTGGCCGATTGCCTCTAACCATCTAATATTATCAAGTTAGTAAATGTAACGGAAGAAAAATAGATAGACTGGGAGCTACACTGTGAAGACCATTGACTGACAGCACATCCCAAGAAGCTCCTCGAGTCAGACCTGGATGATGGAAGACGATGAGTTTTTGAGCTTGATTCTTAAGCTTACCTTGTAGAGGAGATCTTGTGAAGACACCATAAAAGCTTGTGAGTAGTCATAAAGCCAGGTGAAAATGATGATCACTGAGGCCCTGTACTCCCCTCAGAACATAAAGAGTACGCAGTAATCTTACAGGTATCAAGGAATCCGATGGATTTCACTGTTAAATAACAATAAATAAGGAATAGTGAAAACAAAACACGTAGATCAGCGAAGAGCCTCTTTTTGTCGGCCAATTCATTTTCTTAGCTGCACAATCGCAAATATGTGTATATGGGTTATTTTGTATGTATGTGTACATTAAGTTTGCCAAACAAAAATAGACAATTGGTTATGGTTATTTTAATTAAACAGGTGAAGATTGGTAATACAAGTCAAGAAAATTGGGTGTTAATGAAATTAGTAGGGTAGTAACAAAGGTGATGAGTTGTCACAAACAGCACTTGTTAAAAGGAGTTATGTAATGATAATATGAATACTCTGATGAGTGAGTTTTACTCAGGATACGCACATAGGAACAAAGTAGATAAATCAAAATGACGTAAGAGTTCTAAATGAATATACAAGAATTATAAGCAATTAAAGAACAGGCAAAGAAATAAAATTAAGTCATCAAAATCAAATATGAAAAAAGTTGTTACCATGACAGTAGAAGTGGTTCAGTAATCTTCTTTTGTATGCACAGCTCCGGGTTTTTCTATGTGAATGGCCAGAGCTTGAGCGATGCATGAGTAAAACTCACTCATCAGAGTATTCATATTATCATTACATAACTCCTTTTAACAAGTGCTGTTTGTGACAACTCATCACCTTTGTTACTACCCTACTAATTTCATTAACACCTAATTTTCTTGACTTGTATTACCAATCTTCACCTGTTTAATTAAAATAACCATAACCAATTGTCTATTTTTGTTTGGCAAACTTAATGTACACATACATACAAAATAACACATATGTATATTTGCGATTGTACAGATGAAAAGAGACTCTTCGCTGATCTACGTGTTTTGTTTTTCATGAATGCCTGGATGGGGATTATCCATGCAATAAGGAATAATCTGAAAAGACCCCCTCCTCCCCTATTCAAGCTACATTTGTTGTACTCATCTCTTTAGAGTGATTGAAAGTGTTTAAACCTAAGAGGTGGTTACAAATAAGGCTTTTACTGTCTGTCTTTCCCTCTACCACCTTGTCACTTTTTTTCCCCATAAAGACTCACTCCAACTCTGAAATGGTCGACTTTCATTCTTGTGTATTTTCTTCACATATTTTAGCACAATGGAATTGATCTAATCCTACAAATTTTATATGCTGAAATACGTGGACAAAAAAATTATTATCATACAATGTGTGAAACTCTTAGTCAAGCATTATTAAATATGTCTATCCAATGTAAAACTGATGATGACGATAATCAGGTTGAGGAGGAAGAAAACGAAGATGTAGAAAGGGAAAACTATTCGACAACAACAACAGCAGCTATTCATGAAAGAATTCCGCTGAAAACAACGAAATATCCTACCACTTTTCCATTATCAGGAGTAGTAACAGCGGCGTCTTCCTCGGCCGCCTCATCGACAACGAAAACATCACCGATCCCGACAACAACAACAACACCAACTAGTGAGATCAATAATGATAAATTATTCATTTCTCCTTTAGATTCAATTTTTACTACAATGAAAAAACATTATTCATTAAAACAAAACAGCGAATTATATCATTTACATGATAATAAATTAAATAATAATAGTAATAGTAATAATACTAATAATTTATTGAATACAACACTAATATTAAATGCAACGCTGGATTTAATTGAAGCGGGTATTCGTTGTTTATCACATTTAACTGTTGGACATGGCGAATTATTCAATGTGTTCAATTATTTTATTCATCAACGTTTTGCATCAAAATTGATAATATCAATGGGTAGTATATACTTGCCATCATTATTATCATTTCCATTTGATCAACATATTAATTTTTTATGTAGAAAAGAGGAGACTACCACCATTTCTAATACTACTACTAATCATAATAATAATAGTAGTAATAATAATAATACTTGGGAATTTGATTGTTTAACACAAATTCTTCAATTAACTAAAACATGGAGTATTCTAGTACGAAATATTTGTGTGAATACATCGTCGTCGACATCATCGTCATCGTCATCATTGAGAATAAATCGTAATGACGAAGGACTGTCTAGTGATGGAATTCATTCTAATTTATGTTGGCCAAAGCATTTACGTTCACAACTTCGACATGGAGTACATAAATTAGTGCAAAATTTAAGACATTTAATGAATTCGGTAAGTCTTGATGAATATTTTCATTTTGTTTTTTATTTATTTGTAAAACTTTTGTTGTTTTTATGCCCTCATTCAAGGGTATTGTGGTCAAGTTTAAGCACTTTAAGCACAACTAAATAACTACCAATGGAATTCGACCTCACCGATGACCTTGAACCGTTCAATGACAAATAATGCTGTCATGGGTGCGTACTGCTGAGGAGTCCCAAACTAGGACGAAACAGCTGTCCAGTACTCCCAGGTTTTCCAGTGGTTCTCTAACTGATGTCAGCTCATGATTAAATCCTCCATGCAATCAAACAAAATCCCTACAACAAACCAATACTTAAAAATAAAAATAAGCTCATCGAAGTGGAACATGCGCAAGTTTCACCTTAGGTTTGAGAAGGAATAATTTACCCTTTAAGCCAAAGAAAAGTTAGGGTTAGGTCGCCTTTAAAGGTGACATTAGGGTTGGTTCGAGTTAGATTGCAGTTAGGGTTAGGGATATTTCCACTTTACAGATAGGTTCAGGAAAGATTGGGGTTATTTTGGGGTTAGAAGACCTTAATAATTACATGGATAGAATGTGGTTAAATTAGTCTGTTGATATAAGAATAGAACTTGTGCACTGTGTTGGTAGAGTATACTTCCATTGTGAGTAAAATTTATTTTGATAAAGTCTCACAGTGTTTGTTATACAGTGATATTTACTGATGACCACGATTCAAGCACAGTTTATTGTCTAGTAAATATTACTGTATAACACCCTGAGACTTTATCAAAATAAATTCTACCCACAATAGGATTATACTCTGTTGATACTCCAAGCTGAAACTGAGAGCTATTTTTATCACATGTGAGAGGAGGAAGGTATTCTACGTGACACTTTTCTACAGTTTTTATGCTTCTTTTCATAAATATATGTATTCCATACACAAAAATACCTCCTTCACGTGATTGATGCGTTTAAGGTCATGCACTGATCGGTAGTTAGTGGTGCTCATAGTTTAACTTTGCCCATGTGTTTAGGGGGGGGGGTTGAAAGGCACCGGAAAAGCAGACAACACGTCGGTAACTTTAAAATTTTGGTTGGGGGGTTCTGTCATGAACTGACAATCAGAGGGTGTAAATAAAGAAAAAATGAACTGGAGAACTGAATAAACGTTTCGTCCTTTTTTGAGACTCTGCAGAAGTATGCATCCATAACATTTAGTTAACGAGGCGAACATGATAACCACTTAACCACCATTGAGTTGAAATTCAATGGTCTGAGATTCCTAACTTACGTCAATTAACGATATATTGCTGCCACTAATCAATCCTGTCGATGAGTGCCTGACTTTGTAGACCCCACCAACTGCGCCTTCCCCTTAGAACATTCATCATGTAGTGACTTGTCAGTTGGGGGATTAGTATTCCGATTTTGCGTTTTGAACGGGGTTTTGGTCAGTTCCATTGTAGGATTATGTTAGACTCTTGAGTTTTACGGATCAAATTAGCAATTCACACTCGTAAACACTCTTCCTATTTGAGGTACTCATCAACCCTAACCCACTTGTCAAATAATGGTACAGAAAAATGTAGCTACCTAGGGGTAATGAGCGATTCTTTGTTGTAGAGTCTTCAGTACTAACTGAGTTTTATAAATCAGAGGCACTATTTTGTTCATTTTTGGATCGATTTGTTTTTCTTCAAACCGTGAACATCTAGTCGATTAGTTGAAGCGCCGAATTTCTGGTTGATATGTTCAGGATTGAAAATTCACTCCACCTACTTCATCGAGACTTCATCAGCTCTCATGTAATAAATGTATGGCTCACAGTCGCGTAGCGAATAACTGAGTCCTAACCCTTTCTGAAATCTCATCACGGAGATAAACGGGTTCATATACTGTGTGTCAACTTATGCCATCTATGGAGTAGACGTGATATCCTGCTATCGATCAAAGGACATCTGTACTGCGCACCAGTTCGCTACCTCCTCATATGCGCCTACAATCTATCTCCCATGTTAGCTGACATAATAGTATGAGTAATATTGAGGTTAGATGTCGAGTCTTAGGCAAGAAGGGAAAGCCAAACGATGAGGTTGTAAAGCTAGGGCATCGATTGAGATGGGTAGGGCACAGATGTCACACATTCCTAACTATCACCTTCCTCGACGGGCAGTGTTAGCTGACAAAGAATCAGGTTGGTGAAAAGCTAATTGCTGGTCGCACCAAAACTTAGAAGGCAAAGGTCAACAATGGCGTCCCAGGGTATGAGAAGGCACGAATGACCTTCAGCCGATCAATCATAAAAATAAGTGACTTTCAAACACATAGTGATGTATATTTAAAAGAAAATGCATGAAAACACATTAAACAGAGTATCTTTCTCTGAAATGACTTAAAAGTACGTCCCAGTTAACATGAAGAGTATCAGTTATTAAGTTAGACTAGTTTCTGTACATGCATTCATCAAGGTGGTCAAAGATGAGCTGTTTGTGTGAATTGTTTATCTCTCTTATCCTGTTGTGCTGTCTTCCCCGAAAGCTCTCCGTTGAGTTACTATGGTTTCCAGTAAGAGGGTCGACGACTACATACCAGGAAAATGTGGATAAGAAAACAAATTAAAATAAATGACATCAGCTCGAAATCTGTCTCTAGTCGTAACCCTAACACTAATCCTAATTATAACCCTGATCCTAACCCTAACCGCAATACTCACCTTAACCCTAATCCTAACTCTAACGAACTTTGTCCAAAAAGTACTTAGAAACCTGATCTAAGTGAAATTTGCTGCCTAGTTGGTGAATAGGGTTGATATTTCATCGATGATAATGACAGGTGAGGTCAGCCAACGACTAGCATGCGTTCAAGGTCATTAGAGCGTTCCAATTCCTGGGACGCTGTTGTTGAACTTCGCCACTTAAGGCGAATCAGTCCATGAAATCGTTGACAGTTGGTTTGAGTCAGCCATGTAAGGAAATGTCGACTGCCTGGTTTTGGTTTTTCAGGATTCTGAGAACCAGTGACTAGAGATTATTGATGATATTGGCTAGAAGTCGTTGTCGATGGCGCAGATGCATCTACTGTTTGTAATCTGACGTATCCATTAAACCCCATTCTTTTAGCTTGTTACTATTTTGTCTCCTTCGCGTTCCTGCTTATGAACGCTCCTTCGAATATCTTTTGTCTTCCTTTGTGACAACTGGGACTCTTCCATCTCTGTGGAACGTTTCATGTCGCAAGCAGTCAGTTGAACCTACTGATTTTGTTGGTGATCTCTCGGTTTCCACCATAAGTACGACATAAAATCAAATCACTCAACCCGGAAGGGGTCATAATTCAGTAGAACTCTCCTATCACACCTACCTGAATACATACCGTATATATGTGACCGGCCACTTTCTATTCTAAATAGACAGCATTCTCTCCAATTCAAAGCAGAAATACGGCTATCTATTTCTATCTCTGTCTGCCTTTTAGGTGTATGTATGACAAAGAAATTTCATTACAAAAATGATTTTTTAATTTTGTTTTTAACTTTTATGACCTATTAGATATAAGGATTGGTTTGACAAAGATTTTGAACTCTTTGTGTGTGCCGGTTTGTGGGTTTTTGTATGTGTGTCCACCACTAAGGTCAAGGTGAACATTTAAGTGACTACTACTAATACTACTAATAATTACTTCATATCCAATCAAATTCAACTTGTAAACTGTTTAGCTAACTCACTAGTTCATTTGCCTTTTGTTGAAATGTTATCCATTTTTAAACAAACGACTTTTATTATTCAAGTGTTGGTTTGTAGGGATTTGATTGATTGGTTACAAGATTTCATCATGAGCTGAAAATGGTTAGAGAATCATTGGATAGGCTGGGAGTTAGTGAACTGCTGTTTCATCCTAGTTTGGAACTCTTCACAGTACGCACCCACCAACAAGTTTCGAACCTAGGACCTTCCGGTTACATGGCGTGCTCGTAGACCATTAAGTCACTGGGACCCGAGCCAATGGCCTATGAATTCAAACTTCTGCCAATCCACGACATAGCGCGGCCACCAGCCAATGTCTTTGGCGAGTATTTGTCCTCACACCCGACCTGCTGCACCCTACTGGCCATCGATATTCAAGTGTTGGTTTGTAGGGATTTGGTTGATTGGTTACAAGATTTCATCATGAGCTTACATTAGTTAGGGAAGCATTGGAAACTTGGGAGTACTTGACTGCTGTTTCGTCTTGGTTTGGGATTCTTCAACCGTGCGCGCCCACCACTGGGGTTCGAACCCAGGACCTTTATTTTTATTATTCTGCCATTTTTATATCCTACTTTGGTGTTTCCATGGTGTAATGCTCCCCAACCACTCGGGAGGTCCATGTCTGATTCTCAACCGATGGTCTTCTAAACCCTATGAAGTTTACTTAGCGGTTGTAAGTTTGATATGAAAGGAAGGAGAGAAGGTTGGATGTAAGTCTAGCAACCGTGCTTCACCCCCCCCACACACACACACCACTTGCCCGCGCCTCGTTAAAACAAACAACGCCATCTCTATTGAAATTTCAAAGTTCAAAGCCGACTGACCGACCCTATGTACCACTAGAAGCCAAAATTGAAGTGAAAAACACCCCCCCCCCCACACACACACAAACACTTCTATCAAAGTGACAGTAAAGTAGGCTTTTCGTTGACAAATAAAGTTTCCATTAGGCTGGTTTTAATGGGGTTCACTTAAAGTGTGCGTGTGTGTATGTGTGGTGGCAGGGTGGGGTGGGGATAAAGAAAGACAAGGAAGGAAGGAAGGAAGGAAGGAAGATCATTACAACGACTGAGTTCTTAATTGATATGCAGAAAATTTAAAAAAAAAAACAAAATAAAGATAAATTAGATAGATGAAAAGAGGACAACTAGGGAACTGTCTGTCTAATGTGATATATCCATCCATCTTATAGATTGAATAAAACAAAACAATTTTAATTTTTGAGATAAATTAACAGTGTTGTGGTGTGTTGTGTTGTAGCGTGTATTCATTCTCTT